GAAATAGCAGATAAGTCTTGAAGGTTTGCATGGTGAATAGGTACAATAGAAAGTAGGTTCTTTTCAGAACCGCAAATACTCACAAAAGAGATACGTCCATGGTGCTACCGCAAACCTACTTTCTAAAGAAATAGCACTTAAACATAACAAACAAAAATACTGACAAAATATTAAATATAATTTAGACGGACACTTACAGTATATACTAGCTACTGAAGTCTTGCAATACACTGGGAATTGTCACAGCCTGCATTTTCTCCTCAAAAACTTCTCCTCAAAATTCGGGCAACATATCGTTCACCAAACTTATGGCAACTGCCAACACTGGATTCACAAGGCTCAGTAAAAAGTCAGAGCTATCGCTCAAACTTGTGCTACCGCACCATAGGTCTGTCAGTCTCTGCCACACAGAACCACACCCCAGTATATAAGGCTACCACTACTAAACAACGCCTCGGTGTGCAGGTAGGCCTACTATAAATCTATTCAGGTCCCCATGCCTGGTATGTACGCATGCAGGTGTGAACTATACAGGATATAATACTTTGCATAAAAGAGCATGTAAGGAAATTGGGCCAACTTGGCAACACAGAGTTTGGGTCTCTAAATTAACCAAACATTTGTCGTAAAATATCACTGACTTGTGAAATACATGTTTACACCTAAAATATTCCAACTAACCTTGTGGAGTCATGCGTAAACAACTGACTTGGATGACAGAATTTATCAAGCACTCACAACGCAAATAATTCTTATAACTGCGCACGTAAGAGGAATAGCTAACAGGTGCTAATGGTTTGGTCTTCATGCGAATTTATACGTGCACACCGAACACTACTGTCAGCACGATATACCGTTTCTTTATTTTGAGACTAGAAGAGTGCAGTTTAAGGTTCAGTACTATATATGCTTGGAAGCTTCCAATACAAGAAATAATCCGTAAAATATAGTTTAAAACCATAATGCTAAATTACATGTTATTGGAGTATCACCAATCTATTGGCTAAGCAATTGAACGCACTAAATAGTCCGAACACCATTTGGAATGGTTCCTTATCCACATGCCTTGTCTACGTAAATGAACCTAACATTTTAAATGTACGAGCTTTGAGCGCAGTATATACCTATTTCCAAAAAGATCTCGTTTACCCTTTTGAAACTTTACCCCCAGGAAAACTATTTTATATCTCGTTTAGCCTTTTGAAACTTTTATCCCCCAAAACAATATATTAGACTATTTTTTCTCCAGCAAAAAAATAAACATTGCCGTACGCAAAAATGATAGGACAACTGTGATGCACAATCAGGCTCATTTATGAATGGAAGCAAAGACTACTGAGACATCTGTTTCCTTAACACGGTGAAATAACTCAAAACATAATTTTAAACCTTATCTGAGTGCTTTTAAACGTTGTACATGTACAAACATTAAATAAAAAAAATACTGTCTGCCATTCGCTCTAGTTAATACATGTACATACATGTATCCAGTAAATGCGTCTTCTCTTTCAATACATTCATTCCAATTTACAAAATTTACTGGTCTGTGCCATGCGTCATGCACTCACTGAAAAGTCCAATTAACATTTGATCTACCGTAATCAAAGTACATGTAGTTGCGATAGAATTGTCGTTGAATTGCCCTAAACGTTTTCAAGCAGTAACTGGAACTACAAAACTCTTGTTTCTTTGGTAAAAGTGATTTATTTTACTAGTTAATGATACAAATTGCTCCAAAATGAAAACTACACTGCAGGTATTAAAAAAATGACAAAAGTCACCACAAAGACCCATTTTTAGCCCATATTTTTTGGGGGAAATGCAAGAATTCTATTTGTGTTGGTCACTCCGTGAAGGAAGGACACAGGAAGGAGTTACAACTCTGGCACATCAAAGTGCTCGATGATCATCGCCGCCCGGTTAAACGAACAATAGTAAACATTCTAAAAATGCCTGATTACTGCCTGCAGTTAGCCGGACAAACGGGGCCAGTAATATCCTTGCAATATTTGCAAAGTTTTCTTTGCAATTAACAGCAACTTGTCGCAGTGACCAGGAAATAGACAAAAAAATATCTAGCATTAGATTTACTTTTGCCGTCCTGAAAATTTATTTAAGATTTTGACGCACTTTCCCATTATCCATGCAATGTTTGTAGTTTTATTTTTTCACTTCCAAACACCAGTTTCAAAGTCTTTCTGCGAATCTGGCTAAGACTGTCCAACAACATGCTGACCACCACAGGACAGTTAAGTTCACGAAAAACAAAATGCGCTGTTTCATCACAATGAGTGATCATCTCACAAAATACCTTTTTGAGTAAATTCAGTTATAAATATGATTCAAATAAAACACAATATCTCATAAACAACTGGGCTATTTATTCCCAAAACAACTCCAGAAGAAAGCGTTCGATTAGAGCAATAACTGCAGATGAACACTTAGGGCACACAGCCTTATACAAGCAACTGCCCAAGCATTAAATTCGAAGTTATTATACCAACGATGGCATGAATATTTAACATCCTATACTGCAATACACGACATTTTAAGGAGGTAGATTACCAGCGAAAAATTGCGGTGACGATCATGGGGTACAAAGGGGGCAAATGCTTGTGAAAAAGGTGGTGCGTAGCGAGCACTCGCTGCGCTCTGGCTATGGACATACCAGGCATGCCGGAAGTTGTAGCCCTGGAAGTTCAAACTCCTTCTGTGTCCTTCCTCCATGGCCACTCAACCCTAAGCTGTCGTAATGCTTAAACCTTTTCCTCTTTATCTGCTGGTTGAACGGCTTCATAAATCGTCTCTGAAAAGCTCTTGACCGAAATGTACTCCTGCCGGTAAAAACAATCGACAAAAATATCTATAATACAACTCAATGGTCACCTTTCCTCTCTACAAATGTAGATCATTTAAAAAAGTGAAAAGTGGGAGTGTGAGCTTGTCCATTGGGAGAGAACACCTCAGGGCCTCTTTTAGAAGTTGGTCGATGATTTAATTAAGTGAAGTTAGAAAATAATTACCCCTAAATGAAAAGCTTGAGTCTCGGTCTTCTGTCGTAAATATTTACAGGAATTAAAAACTAATAAAATATGTTCTTCCGTAATTAGTAAACACTGCCAAGTCGGATCCTATCCCCACATCCCGACACAAGTGGAACAAATTAAAATTGCTGCTAGTTGAATTCAGCAATAGACCAGTGGCTTCTTAAAGCTTTGCTACACAGCGAAGGAGTGAGAGGCATGTTGCAAGCGCTGAAGCTGTTTATACTGCTTTACTGGAATGGATCGCCCTTCCTTGTCCATTGAATTTAATTATAAAGGCTGTAGGCCTACATCTGAACAATGAGGGGATTATCATGACTAGGAAAAAACCAGGGTAGGAGTGTGGAATGCTGTTCCGGAATTCACTACACTCTTATGCTCCGTCTCAGTACAGAATTTCTGTATGACCATGTATTCAGATGGTGAAGAGCAAACAATACACTTAAAGGTGAAACTATAGTGTAAAATTGCACAACATACCTTTTCACAAATTAATTTGCGAGGTCTAACGATCCCTTTTGCGATACCTTAAATCAATGCGCCTCTCAATATTGGATTTGCTATTGTTTCAGCCTCTTTGTAACAACACCAATCATTCCTTATTTTATACCTTTCCTTTTTTGATAAGTCCCTCCAGCTCCTGACTGATCACCTCGAATGTAGGTCGGTTCTCTGGATCCTCATCCCAACAACTCAACATCATCTCATACCTGACAGAATGCATTCGTAAACAATGATTGATTTCCCATTATAACAGGAGAAGAACCAGCACCACACAACGATGATTGGAATAAGAGTGTTATGCATTATAATAGTAGCCTGATCAACATGACCCCTACCAAATCCTCATTGTCATATATTTTTTCAAAGCGATAACCCTGCAATCGGAAATCATTGGATACGTCAGAAGCAAGTTTTCTAGTGCAAAGAAGCTTGCTCACAATTCGTCTTGACAGTGGTGTGGTTTTGGCATTCGATAACCTGACTGAAGCTCACCAACCATCATCTTAGCAGTCATAGCTGGATATGGACGAGCACCTACAAGAAGGAAGAAAAACGGTCCATTAAAACGCAATATCAATCTTCAGTAAGTTTAAAAGGGTTTGAAATACTACATTTTTGACCCTCAAAACATTTTGATGGTCCATTGCTTACCAAGAGTAACAATCTCCCACAGAAGTACACCAAATGACCACACGTCACTCTCTGTTGTGTATACGTCATCCAACAACGACTCAAGAGCCATCCAGCGCATGGGCAGAGCACCCTACCAACAATTGAAACAATCACACAAAACTTAGCACAAAGTCTTTGAACTGCTTATTAACAGCTGCTATTTACTGTACGAGATTTAAATGACTGACCTCCGATCCTCGTTCATATACTCGAATGTTCAGGACGTCACGAGCAAGTCCAAAATCAGACACCTTACATAACATGTCCTCAGCCACTAGCACGTTACGGGCAGCCAGATCCCTGTGGACGCACTGAGATATTACGGCAAACGTAAAACGTGTCAACCGCGTGAAATCGAACAAAATGTGAGAGATAACCAAAAAGTGGGACTGAGCAGATGTACCTTTTGAGATGAAATGAAGGCCATTCCATTAGCAACGTCCTTGGCAAATTTCATCAGATCCCTCGAAGTCAATGACTTACTGATGCCATGCAGGTTTCCATAGACACGACCACCCTTACTGCGACTGTCTTGAAGAAGATCTTTCAGATTGCCTCTGGACAGATACTCAACAATGATGTATAGTGGTTCTGTTTGTCAGAGCGGAAATTTCAATGGGAAATGTTTTGTCCGTCATCTTTTTGAGAAGTTTAAATTAAAAATCACTGTTTACTAATAAAGAACACAATGACAAAATACACGAGAGGGCATCAAAGACATAAATGTCCCTGAAGTAGCACAGTGAAATACTCATGTCAAAGCTGCATTATTTTCGATTTCGACAGTCTGAATATTCTGAAGTTAGCGGTGCGTTTACCTTTGTCTATGCAAAATCCTAGGAGCCTGACTACATTACAATGGTCTGGTAACTTCTTCATCAAGTCTATCTCCTTCATTAGGCCATCTTTATCACTCTTACTGGCTCCATCTGTTGGAACGATTGGCATAAAATGAACAAGTTATTTTGATTATGACATTTATAGTATGCAGTATTCTGCACGAGCAAATACATTGAAGCTTTCAAAAAGAACGGAAAATAAAGTGGTAGTCTGATAAGCGGTAATGCCCTTTAGGTCAGTTTTTTTACCACAGCACTGGTTTTTGTTACAACATTTACAATTAACTTGTTATCCATCGGAAATGACGCACGCTTCTGATACCAACCTTTGAGTGTCTTAACTGCTACCAAGGTGACCTTTGACCTCTCTGTTATCCCAGTAGCTTCAGCAAGAAGCACCAGACCAAAAGCCCCATGTCCAAGCTCTCTGACAATCTGCAGCTGATCTCGTGGGAATGCTTTGCTTTCCATGGGGACATTTGAGTATATTGCTGCTCCTTGATCCCGATTAGCTTGCTGTCCAATGACGTCTAATTCTGGAATCAATCCAACGTATTGCTGAAAGTCACTGTTAATACAATAGTTTGTTAAAGGAAGCGCTCGAAGGGGTTTTCTTTTTTTCATAGGAGTGTGACGGAAAGTGTATA